CTCCTCTTTCCTCCTTTATATATGCTGGTCTAGTCACATTAGTCTGTTTATCATTCCTCAAATACATAAGGCAAACTCCCAACTAAAGGACAGGCAGAGACAACTTCTTCCTGTTCTTTCTACCTCAAGTACAGATCTTCATACGGACTCCTTCCCATCTCAGTCAAATCTCAAATGTCACCTCTTCAAAGAGATCTTCCCTAATCACTGCTGCAATTTTCTTATGTAGCCTCTTTGTACATGAGAACAAAGTCCCCTCTTGGGTGGGCTCATCCTCGCAGGCACAGGCCTTAGAAAGCAGGCAGTACCTTGGGAGGAAGCAAAAGGTGACCCTAACTCAAAGAAGATGCAACCTGATGCAGGGCGCTCAACTTGGCAAGTAGAGTTTGAGCAAAGTGTCAGCCCTCACTTGCCCCCTCAGCTGAGCACCTTTGTGCAGTGCCAAACTACACAGCCATCCCTGGGGCACTGTCCCTCACCCGGGCCTCAAGTAGCCTCTAGCATAATACCTCTCTGTTTCCTGTACATCACCTATCACAGTCTGTAACTACTGGTTTAAGCCAACTTAAGAAACTATGTATAATTTTTCAACTAGCATATTTTTCCTTGTGAGAAAGAAACCAACACTTTATCCAAACATTCCCTCCTCTTTAACACCATTTAGCAACACACAACTTGGAACTCTGGTATTTAATTATTAACATAATGAAATATGGAAGTAGTAAAATACTTTGGAAACCACATACTAATTTCAATAAATTAACTAGTGTCTGACTTTCATCCTTGATTTATTTCAAATGATTGGTTTATTACTAAAGTCTACCTCTATTTCTTTTGTCAGGTTACATTGTTTGTTTATTAGTTTAGCTGTTTAATAGCTGTCTCTTCCACTCACAACAGGATATGACCTTCATTAAAGTAAAGACTGTGTCTTGTTTACTACTGTATCTGCAGAGCTTAGAACAGTGACCAACAAATGTTTATTGAATATTGAAAGAAAGTTGAAACAACAGGCTTCCATGTAACATTTCATTTGAATGAATACTATCTTTTTCTGCCTAAAAGTATAAGAACTTTTGAACTATATTACCTCTACATCTCTTCCAATTCAGACATCCTAGGATTTGATATTATTATCACTCCGAAAAATCCCTACCGCAACAGATATGGTAGCAAAGGTGGAGTTACAAATTGTAATGCAGCAAGTTTCCAAGATCCTGGAATCCTCCTCCTCTGTTTTCTGGAGGTGGAAGGTTAAACTTTAAAGTCCAGTTTGTGTACCTTAAAAATTGTTTCTCTTTTTGGGCCTCAGTTTCTTTATCTGCCAAATGATGGGCTTAGACAAAACCAATCTTGAAAAAGAAAAAACTCCACCTTTTATTTTATTTTTTTGACAGCAAAAATATTTTTCCCAGGAAAATCTTGCTAGTAACCCCAGGATATAGCATAAATTGAGGAATTTCTGCGCTGGTTGAAGTGAGGGCAGGAGGGCCCAGACTTCATCAAGTCCACAGACCACACTGTGAAAAATCCTCCATTAGATGCTCCTGAAAGTCTCTACTGTCCCTAACATTTTATAACTTTATGATTTTGTCATTTACCAGACTCCAGGGCCAGTGGAGGTGTGGATAGGAAATGATGAGTTGAGAATTCATTCATTAAACAAATATTTTAGTGTCTTCTATGTTCCAAGTACTATGTCACATGAAACAGTGGGTGAACAACATGAAAAAAAAGGCATGGAGATTCTAAGACCCAATCAGATGGATTTCCTAAGCCATTCTCTCAAGCCTTCTTCCATTCCCACTGTACCCACCCCAATCTCCTCTGAAAAAAGGAGACTGCATCTAAATATGTGAAAGAAAAACTGCCATAACCTTTATGTACCTTAGGACCTAGTACCTTAGTACCATCATTTTTCCATTACAGGAGTAATCTTTTCTGCTTACACAAGTCCATTTGCCCAAACCCTTCCAACTGTGAAATAAGTAATCTAAATATTGCTCTGAGATAATCTATGGTAGTTTCCCCTGTACTTTGGTCATTGGAGTGAAACCAATTGCAAATAAACTAAAAAGCAATAGCAAATCAACCAAGAAGTTCATTGGTTTGCAAAGTTCATGCAGTGTACTTTTCATGACTTATTTAGTCAATAAAAATACTAGACTAAAAAGTAAGTGCCCAAACACCCAGCCAACCAATTTTAAGTAAGACCCAATTTACCATCCTCGTTTTTTGACAAACGAGGAATCCAGACAGAAGGTAGTTGTATAATAACAGCTATTGTAGGGTTAGATATGTTGATGCCATGATATGGGGCAGCAGTAGTCAGATAAATCCTAGAGATACTTGGAAGGTGGACTCAGCAAGACTTAATATTTTATTCCCTACAGATCACAGAAAGAAGGAAGGGGTCAAGGATGAATCTGTTTTCTTACTTGCGTGAGCAGATAGATCAGGTGGTACTCACTACTGAGGCAAGAAACACAAGATAAGAAGATGGTTGAGGTAGAAGAAAATGATGAGTTTAGTTTAGACATTTCCAATGTAACGTTCCAATGTAACTTCAAAGTGAGGTACTATATCTCAAAGTGGGATCCACAGATATAGTCTCAGGGATCTTTTATTTTTTTTAATTCTCTAAGTGTGACGGTAAAAATTTATAGAAATAAGAATTTTTGGGGTAATCTAGTGGAATAGAATTAAATAATAAATGACGCACTCAAGCCAAGTGAAGGCCAAGTGATGTCTTGGCAGTCTGTTACATACATAAAAAAATCTTTCATCGTGGTTTAAAAAGAGAGACATGATGGCAGAATTGAGTCATCCCAGAGCACACAGTGTAGGCATACTGAATTCAAAAGAATCTGTGCTTTAGCAGTAAGCACCATATCCACAATGATGGAAGTAATTTAGTTTTAACAAAAAAACATTATCTGTCACATTATGCTGTGATTTTGTAGTTTTTATTATATTTAATTTGAAATATTGTTATTTTAGCTTTAATTATAAGGAATAGTCACACACACACAGTATTTATATCTTTAAAGCATTCTTACAAGAATAATTGAAGTCAATGCTTGGGCATCTGCACAAATTTTCTTTCTTTTAAAAAGAATCAATACATTATCCAAGTTTTCAAAGCAAATGTGAGAAACACTGGGTTCAAGTCTTATAGGCTCAAGACTGATATTTGAATTGAAGATATATATATATATGTATTTGGGAATCAACTATCTGTAGATGGTGTTGAAGCCATGAGACTAGGGCAGAGATTAAGTAAAGAAGAAAGAGCCCATTACAGAGCTTTTGAGAACCATTAATATTTAGAAGTGAAGCAGACAGGGAAGAGGAGCCAGTAAAGGAGATGGAGAAGAAGCAGCTGAAGAGGTAAAGGGACAACCAAGAAAGTGTGGTGTAATGAAAGCCGATAAAATGGGCATTTCAAGAAAGAGGTAATGGTCCACAGCAGCAAATGCTGCCGAGAGATCACGTTGTAAAAGGACTCAGAACTGACCATTGGCTCTGGCTGAATTCTTTCAGTTCACAGACATGAGACTACTCGTCCTCCACGAACAATCCATTCCTACTTACGGCATATAGCCAACAGCTGACCAGCTAAACATCAAGTAAGCCTTAATAACACCCCCACTGCAAGTTTGTAGGCTGGATCTTTTAATGAGTTTGTATCTTTTGTGACCAAACCCAGTTTTATCTGCCCACCATGGCACCAGCTTGATGCTGACTCTCACCTCCCTGAGTTCTAATACTTGACTCTTCTGACATTCAACCTGCTTTCCAAAACTTTTGCTATGGCCTAGTTTTGGGATCTCCCCCAGTCTGCATCAGTGGATCAGTCTTGTTTTCAGGATTTAGCTGCTGTCTTCATCCATTCTTCTAGTACCAACCAGATATCAATTTCAACACAGAGAACTTTGTGTAACTTCATTTGGTCTTCATTGATCCCTTTATGACCTCTTTTTCAATCAAGATATTTCCATTCTATCTGAACTACTTCTCCTGCTTAATTCTCTCTCTGTTGGTAGAAACATTCTGTTATAGCAATGAAAGAAGTCAGTAAACAAACATCTTCACCAATATTCATAATCAAATCTTCAATTCTCCGTGTGTTCCTTACATTTTGTATTTTATTCCTTTCTGCATAAAGACCCACTTTTTATAGTGTACTCTACTCCATGCCTTTAACTCTACTTTATTCCAATGCAGCAGCAAAGAGATGACTGTCAGCTAAATTGCACTTTCCATTAAAAAAATTAAGTAGCTTTTAAAAGAGCAGGATGACATATTTCAGCCCAGCCACTGCATTTACCACAGGGTTTGTTTTAAAAACTCACTGTAGAATTTTAAGACTATATGTGCGGCTTGTTCATGGGTCATTAGGGCACACTCTACAGGCTTCAGCAAGGTGATTTTGTAAAAATCTACACAACTTAATGAATCCAAGTTTCATTAAATCGTTAATTGCATCCAGTGAGAAACTATGTGGTGTTACTTTCTACAATTACTGGAAATCACAGCAGAGGAAACTCGGGGAAATTGGAAGGGCAAGTATATACAAGTTAGCAACACTCATTCCTTTTGGTTTCACCTCTTGTTAACCTTGAGCATCGCCCCCACAGGATTCTAAGGCAGTTTGGGGAACATCACTTGCTGGGAAATTTCACTGGAGTGAATTCCAAACTATAGAAAAATCATGCAAGGCAATTCCCATTTAAATCTGACGCACTTCAGACTTCTCCAAACTTGGGCATAGCCTTGAATTCCTAATTGTGAGTTATGCTTATAATTTTCAGTACCAAGAAAAGCATATACAGAAGTCAGAAGAACTGGGTTTCCGTCCTGGCTTTTTTATATGCTAGAGAAGGAAAAGTCAGTTTTCCATTCTCAGAAGCAATTTCTTCCTTTGTAAATGGAGCATAGATCCATATTCTGCCTACCTGCTTGTGTTTGTGAGGGTCACTGAAATCACATCCTTTCAGGGAGAGGCAGTTCACCATTGGCCCTGAGCATCCCTGCAAGTTCTTGCTGACTGTGCCAAACTGCAAGGCTTATCTGTCTCCTGATACTAAGTTGTTTCTATGGCTAGTCACATAGGCTACTAAGTAGGTCAAGGCGACCACAGCATGACTACTGTGCAAATGTTCACTCCCTGGGGAAATGTTACTGGCTTGGCCTGTTTGCTGCTTGCTACAATGTTTGCTTCTTGCTCAAAATTGCTGAGTCTGTGGCCCTGGTTTCCTCAGCAATGGTGCGATACAATCCATCATGTGCCTAGCATCTATCTGGGCCTATCACATTGCCCCATGGGACTTGGAAGCAGGGAAACCATACAACTATGCTGATGTTTGCCTTGTTTGTTGTGCTGTGAGAAACAAACAGTTTTGCTTTAATTCATTAAGCCCCATTATCTACTTTCAGCCCTTCTGGGATTGTAACAGGTTTAGTCTTTTCCATCCTCGCTGAAGTTGGGGTTCTTCCCTTAAAGTCCTCAACCCTCAAATCTTCTTTCTCATGTGGTACCACAGTCAGTTATCATATATGTGCTAAGGATCCCAAATTTATGTCTTCAGCTTCTTCTCTCCTCCGTTTCTAGACCTCATGTCCATCTGCCTACTGAATAGCTCCCCTGGATGTCCCACTTTCAAGTCCACCTGTCCACACCTGAGCTCATTATCTCCTTCATTCTCCACTCAGATCTGTTCTTCCTCTTTTGCCTATCTTGGTTAATGGAACCACCAACTGCCTAATGTTTCCAGTTAGAAACCATGTATCATTCTCAATCACTCCTTTCCTCTTATCAAGCCCACCAAAACACATACATTCAATTAGTCAACACATTCCTTCATTTCTACCTGCTTACTAAGTCTTGATTTCATCCTTTCTTTTCCATCCCTTCCTTTCCATCCCCATTGCCACTGCTCTACTGTCATCATCTTTTGCCTAAATACACCTTATTTCTTTCCCTAACACACGAAAAATTTATTCCTGTACTGGGAATTTACATTTGCTTGTCCCTCTACTTGTTCAAACTGCATAACATATCATCAGTATCTGGCTTCTACTTACCTCACCAGCATTATCTTTTGCCATCAACCTAAAAACACCACCTCATTCCCCAGTAATAAAAAAAAAATAACTTGCTGGTTTCTAAACTTGGAAAGCTACTTTACTCTTCCTTGTCATCTATGATGCGCCACACAGATTCCTCTTCAAGGAAGGGCTTCTTGCCCCAGCTGCTGGGAATTTTATCAGTGGACAACCCTCAACCCGCAGTCCTTTGAAGGATCAGCTCAATTGCAGAGAGCAGCCTTGCCCCAGGTCACACCCCTTCCCAGGAGCAACCCACATCTAATGACCAATGCAGGAGTATGAAGACATAGATATTTCAGCCCAAGAGGGGACAACTCACAATCCTATAAGGCCATCTCAGTTTCTGAGGTCCTTGTGGTATCCTCCTAGACCTGTATCGCAACCGTACTTCTCGCTTGATCAGTCCTGCTGCTTCTCCTTCCTTTCATAACTATCAAATCTAAGGACACTCCTTAATACATAGCCTGCACATTAAACTCCAACTCAGAGTCTACTTCCCAGGAAATCCAAGCTATGACACCATCATACTTGCTATTTCTTCTTTGGGACAGCCTCCTCCTCTGCTTATCCTCATGGTGAATACCTAATGATCCTTTAAGAATCAAATCAAGCATCACCTCTTCTATGACCCCTTCCTTGAAATTTTCCCCCCATGCCACACCCACCAATCGAGTTCATAATTACATAATCCTTCTTTTGTGCTATTGTTATGTTTTATAGAAAATTCTATCAATGCTCTCATCACAGAGTATTATATTATTCATTTACCTGCCTGTATCTCTTAATCAGACCTTGTACTCCTTCATGTGAGGATCTGTATCTTGTCTGCTTTTAGATCTCCACCATCTAGCACAGCTACTGGCACATGATTGGGTCACAATAAATACTCATAGGATTACAATATTTCCAGGGAGAATTGGGGAATGACATTTCAGGCAGACTGGATATGGATTTCATATAACAGTCACCAAGTCATGGCAGTGCATGATGTGTTTGTATGTCAGTTAACATTCATTCATTCAACAAACACTTTTTGAGTACCTGCTATGTGCCAATCATCATATTTTCTACAGAAGACACAGAGAGGAACAAGACAGATATGGTCCCTTTACAATTTAGCAAAGAAGACAGGTACTGAATAAGTTACTAGAAGAGTTATGAGTGTACAAAGGAGAAGTTCAGAGCATTGTATTTCTATAGCAGGATGGTCTAATCTAGCCTAGAGAGCTTAAATTAAGGCTTAAAAGAGAAATTAATCTTTAAGCTGAAACCTTAATAGTAAGTAACAGTTAGCTGGGTGAAATAGGGAGGGGAAGAGTGATCCAAGAAGATGAAATAGCATGTCTCAGAACCCAGAGGTGGCAAAGAATATGACACATTTAAAGACAAGGAAGAAGACTGGAAAGAAATGCCAAGAACTGTCACTGGAAAGGTAACTTGGAGCCAGACTATTAGAAAATGTTAACTAATGGTAACACATTAGAATTTTATTTAGTAGAAATCTGCATCTATTGAAAGATAATTTAGTCAAATATCAATGTGATTATCTGCTGCATTGATGATAGATTAGGAGGAAGAAAGACTGGAGGCAGAAAGACTGGTGAAATGTTGTTTATGTATTTGTATTTTAAAAAATATATTTAGGTGAGAAAGGAAGACGGCCTGAACTAAGGCAGTGGCAGATGGGATAGAGAGAAGGTTTTACATAGCAGAGAGATTGCCGATGTGAAACTGGAGATCTTGGTGACTTGTTAAATATAGGAGGTGGAGAAGAGGAATGAACTGAAAAATGCCTTAGATTGTCTTGGAGAATATCTGAGGAGGAGAAATTGAGTTCTCTGCCAAGACAGAGAAATGAGTCAAGAACCAAGACTCTAGAAGGAAAAAAAAATTGGATTTATATGGTTATGCCCAATCAGGTGTTTACTGATGATAAACATGATATTCTCTTTATATAGAAGTCAAAATACCACAGCAGTGGGATCCGGCATTTTTCCCCACCAAGCTTAGGTTATTTATTCATTCAGCTAATGCATATTTATTGAGCCCTACCTGCCATGTGCTAGGCACTAGGCCAGGGAACAAGGATAAAGTATTAAAAAAGACAGATTCATTTCTTGCCATGACAGAACTTAATTTTACCAAATAAATAATCTGATCAATTTATATCCCAATGGTTCCCTGTTGTATGTATTTTTTTTAATTTTGAGAAATTTCTATTAGTTGTGGACTGTAAATATTTATCATCTTGTTAAATTGTAAAGCTACTAGGAGAAATATATGCAATGCCAGTATTTATTTTCAATACTCAATGTCCACTCTTCTTTATAATAACAAAAAGTCTGTTTAAAGGAGTTTTGCAAACTGATTCCAAGCACCCAAACAAATTATCGAGATTAAATAGAGATTAGGCACCCTCAGCATGGGAGTTGCTTTTTCAATTAAAATCAGTGACGGCTATTTTAATATACACTTCTCTTTGGGGAGAGTTTCCAAATACAGTAAGTGTTGCTAAATGAAGTGTTTCTGGCTGTTGGTCAGACACAATGTGGAGAGTGTAGAAAAGGTAAAATGTCTAATGCAGGTGAAAAAAAAGAGCACAGTGTGTCTATTTCATAGCTCTATGTTCTTTGACTTCTGGGAACTTGTTATTGTTGCCTCAAGAAAGGACTGTGGCGGTGGCTTGCCAGGCTTGTCTCTGGCGATGCAGTTGCAACCCTGAGCCCTCTGCAGGCCCATATTTAAGTAGTGAGTTCACCATACACCCTCTTATTGTCCAGCCTGAGAAAGTGGCTATCAGGAAAAAGAAAGCACAAGACTTCTCTCCTTGTCGAAACCGAAGGTCAAACAGGAAATTGTTTGCTGAATCTCTGCTCCACACATCATGATATATGAATGTCCTCATCAGCATTTTGGTTTCATTTGTGAAATTTAAATTTCTGTAAAATGATAGATAAATCTTTAATAAAGCAATAAATTAATTAATTGTCCCTGAGGTGTAATGAAATACCTTCTAGTAGCATACATCTTGGCCTCACAGCCCAGTCAGCACAGTACACCTTTATTCACAACTGCATTGTTTTAAAAACAGAATGGAAGGCTTTCAAGGCTCCTAAGAACACCTAATGTCTAGCTTTTCTACGTGAACTAGAGCAACCATCTAAAACCAAAAATTTGTGAAATAGGAAAATCCATAGTGGTAGATAATGTCAGATACCCTTCTTGTAGTTTTAGATGCATTACCTCATTTAGTACCCAAAACAATCTTCTGAGACAGTGATTACTATCTCCACTTTTTAAAACTAGGAAACCGATGTTATAAGTGCTTAAAGCTCTTTTCCAAAGTTGTCCAGCTAATTACC